TTCATTTTTTTTTTGGCAGTTCCATGTTTTCCCTGAGGGCATTTTATGGGTTCCTCTGCCTTAGGTCCAAGTGAGCAGCACTCACTGAGGCGAGTCAACATTAGAAACACAGAAGTAAATATCCTGAGCTCAGAGCCCGGGGGGAGCCACTGCCCCAGCAGCCAAGGCAGCGGGTCGGGCTGGTAACGCAGTGGCTGAAAGGAGGGGACTAGGAGATGGGTGGTTTCCCATGACTCTGCTTTGCCTAAAAGACACATATTGCACAGGATTTAATGGAATCTCCTCCTGGGCTACTGAGAAATCCCTCTTTCCAGTATGGGCTTGTTGAATGTAGACCTGAAAGCTATTCAATTTATGGTATCTCGATATTTTAATTTAATGCCTCACTTTTCTTTTGTGACATCAGAGTAGTAATCAAGTCATTAGACTGTGGCAGGCAGTTTTCTTAACCACTAAAGAAGGATTTTATACTGAAATGAGATAATGTAACTTTTGGTTAGATCTTAAAGATCTGTGTATGTATTTGTACATGTATACTGAAATATAAAATTATATATACCAAATTACATATATATATTTAGCTTATGTATTTATCAGTATGTAAATATAAAAGTTATACATACATAAATACGTAAGTGTACCACATAGCTATCACGTATATATTTGCCATATAAATAAATTTTATTTATGTATAAAGTCTTAGAGTTTCAAAGGCCTGGCGGCCTGTCTAATCAGAGTTGCATGGCCAGAGGCAGACCAAGGACCAGAATGTAGGTCATCTAGTCCAACACCTACCTAGTCCTCTCCAGAGAAGTGTTGCAACAGTTTACTCTTCAATTCACAAGAATAGTTTTATTTTAGAATTGTTCAGAGTGTCTCTCATGTTTTTGATTTACTCTTGCTTGTTTATACCCCATTCTCATTCCTGTTTCCTGCCTCCCTGTATGAAACTACGCAAATGTGTTTTATACGTATATTAAATATACATAAACACATTGGTGTTAAACATATATGTTATTTTTCCAGGTCTGTGTTCTTAATTTATGTGAATGATCTTGTGGTCTGTGTCCCATTTTTTTTTCTTATCATTTGTTAACCCAATTTATTTTAAGATCCACATATGTTGTTCTTCTACTTTCATGCACCTAATGGTTGAATGTATTTTAAGATGCACGTTCATCTCATTTTTACATATTCATCTCTTTAATGGTGGAAAATTGGAATATCTCCAATTCTCTGCTACTACAGACAAGGATGTGAAGAATATCATGACTCAAGTCCCCATGTAGACCTGCTGCAAAAATTTCTCTGAATTTTATAACTCAGAGTGTGATTGCCAAGTCAGAGACTTTGGCATACTTAAGTACTGACCTCCAGAAAGACTACCAATTTCACACTACTAGCAAAACATTGGTTCCCCCTCACAAAAAACATTATTATGAATCTTTATAATTTAATATGATGGATGTAAACTGTTAACCCATTTGTGTTTTAACTATAATGTCTCCATTAAATGCCTCTATGCTTTTAGTTCCTCTGTATAAACATATTGCCCTCTCAAGTTTTCCCTTGTAAGATGCTTATTTAGATATTTTGCTCCCTTCTCTATTGGTTGACCTGTCTTGTTGCTATGCAGGCATTCTTTATCTATTCGAATATTAATCTCATCTCTAATCTTAGATGTCCCAGCTAAATATCTGTGAATTTTATTTATGGTGATTTTGTTGAATTTTCAACTTTAATGTGGTCAAATTCATCTATTTTTTGGCCTTATAACTTATGTTTGGGGTCTTATTTTAGAGGCAGTCCCCATGGAAAAGGCACAAAGTTATTCTTCTATGTTTTCATCTATAGACTTTAGAATTTTATCTTTCACATTTAGGTCTTTATTCACCTGAAGATCACCTTTGTGGCAGGGATCTAGCATTATTATTATTATTTTATTGAAGCCAGCTTTTCATCTGCTAGCTAGCCTGTTCTCCTCTTGACTTGTGGGATCAACTTTGACATTTATCAAATTCATAGGTAAATTAGTTTTTTTTCTGAATTCTGTGTGGTATTCCATTTGACTTTTTTTCCTTTCTGTAAGGAATCTAAATTCTGTTTGTTTTATTTTAACTTATGGGTTTATAGCATACCTTAATTGTCTTTTAGTACAAACACAACTCACCCGTTTTTTATCTTCTCAAAATTTCAAAGTTGGCCTGGCAATTCCTAGGTTTTTGTTTATCCAAATATATTTTTAAATAAATTTGTTGAGTTCCTCAAAAATTCTGTTCTTATATATTTTGAAATATGTTTGCTGGTGGCCTGAAAGTTTCTCCTGGCATTTTATTTGAAGTTGCATTGAATTTGTAGACTAAGTTTGGGAAAAATTGATATTTTTGTCATATTAAGTTACCTCATTCATGAATGTGGTATATCTCTTCATTTATTCAGGACTTTTACTTTGTTTTTCTGCTGGGTTTTACAGTTTTGTCCATAAAGGTCTTGTGCATTTTTTGTTAAGATTCTTTTTTTTCTTTAAATTTTTTATTGTTATGTTAATCAGCATACATTACATCATTAGTTTTTGATGTAGTGTTCCATGATTCATTGTTTGTGCATAACACGCAGTGCTCCACGCAGAACGTGGCCTCTTTAATACCCATCACCAGGCTAACCCATCCCCCCGCCCCCTCCCCTCTAGAACCCTCAGTTTGTTATTCAGAGTCCATTGTCTCTCATGGTTCGTCTCCCCCTCCGATTTCTCCCCCTTCATTCTTCCCCTCCTGCTATCTAATTCTTACATATTTTTTTCAGTCCAGGTTCAACCTGTAGGATATGTTTATATGTATATAATTTATTACAAGGAATTGGACTATTGATTATATGAACTTGGTAAGCAAGTCCAAAATCCATAGGGTAGGCTTTCAGGAAGGGAAGAAGTATGGTCATGGGCAAGTTGAAATTCATGGGCACAGTTTGAAGCTACTGTGCACAGGTGACAAGAGTTTCCTTTCTCTCCCCCCACCCTCCCTTTCTCTATTCAGACCGGTTTTCAAGATTTCCAACTGACTGACTCAGGCCTGCCCAAATTGTCAAGGATAATATCCTTACTTAAAGTCAGTTGATTATGGATTTCAATCACATCTCTAAATTCATGGCAACATCTAGATTAGTGTTTGATTAAATAACTGGGGACTATTGCCCAGCCAAATTGATACATTGGCAAAACCATTTAAAGTACAGTTTTGTTTGCTAATTTAAGTTGTATCTCGTTTTCTATTTGATGATTGCTAATATAAAGGAGCTATATTGATTTTTGTAAGATGATATTATATCTAAATCATTTTATGAATTCTTGTGTTTGTTCTAATGGTTGGTCTGTGGCTTCACTTTCACATTCTATGTTGGTGATAATATCATCTACAAATAGTTTAATTTGATATTATCTGCAAACAATTGTAATTATTACAATTCATCATTCTTTTTCTTATCTTATGACATTGGCCAATGTGCCCAGTGGTATGTTAAGTGGTGGCAAGGATAGCAAGTGTCCCTGATCATTCTCTAACAGTAATGTATGTCTAAAGTTCCACCACAAACAGGATGCTTGCTTTAGTTATGGTATAAATCCTTCATCATTTTAAGGATATTACCTTCTATTCCCAGTTTACTGTTATTTTTTTTATTATGTTCAGTTAGCCACTGTATAGTACATCACTAGTTTTTGAGGTAGTTTTCAATGATTCATTAGTTGTGTATAACACCCAGTACTCATCACAACATGTGCCCTCCTTTCATCATAAATAAAATTTGAACTTTATGAAATGCTTCTTCTACATCCATTTAGAAAATTATGATATCAGCCCACTGGTGTATGACTTAAACCTAGACATTTATTAACATTAAATCACACTTGCTTCTCAGCAATAAATAAACCCTAGTCTATTTTGGGGTAGGGGGCAGGTATAGTTGACACGAGATGTTTTATTAGTTTCAGGTGTACAACATAGTGATTCACCTTTTCTGTATGTTATGCTTTGCTCACCACAAGTGTAGCTACCATTCATCTGCCATCATACAACACTATTACAATATCAGTAACTATATTCCCTATGCCGTACCTTTTATTCCCATGACTTATTTGTTCCATAACTAGAAGCCTGTGTCTTTTTGCCCATTTGCTCATCCCTCCACCCCTCTCCCCTCTGGCAACCACTGGTTTGTTCTCTGTATTTATAGGTCTGATTCTGCTCTTTTAAATCCTAGCTTATTATGATGTGTTATATTTTTACTATGCTAATTCAGTTGGTTAGCAAATATCATTTTTAATAATTTATGTCTATGTTCATAAGTAAAACAGGCTTATAACTCCTTTTTATATTCTAGCCTTATTTTATTTTAAATTTCAAGTTACTCTAACTTTGTAAAATGTTTTAGGCAACTTCCCTTCTTTTCCTACTCTCTGAAACTACTTGTATAAAATAGGGGTTGTTTGTTCTTTAGACTTTGGTGGAACTCTTATAAAATTTTCTGAGCCAGGGGCTATTTGTGGTTCCATGTTGTGATAATTTGTCATCTAATATGTAGGAAAGCATTTTTCTTGTACATTTAATTTTCATTCAGTATTTATTTATTTATTTTGGGGACAGAGCATGAGCTGGGGGAAGGGCAGAGGGAGAAGCAGACTCCCCACTGAGCAGGGACCCCAATGCAGGACTCGATCTCAGGACCCTAGGTTCATGACCTGAGTCAAAGGCAGATGCTTAACTGACTGAGCCACCCAGGTGCCTGAATTTTTAATCAATATTAGTTGTATAATTTTACAAAGGCAATAAGATAGCTTTAGCTTTAGACTAATAAGTAAGAGAGTAATTGTTGAACCTGATACACTTCTAAGTGTCTTTATATAATAGATTAGGCAGAAATGGGATCCATGTGGAATACTACACAGCTCGGAATGAGTGTGTTGCATCTGAAGCTCCCTAACTGTCTCTGTGCTTCTTACCTTCTAGGACATACGGGCCGGTTATTAAAGTCTCTGTGCTTCACCAGTCTTTCCTTCCTGTTGCTGCATATCATTTTCCACATCACGTTGGCTAGTCTGGAAGCTCAACACCGTATTGGACCTAGTTACAACTGTGAGTATTATGGTAATTTTTTTCTTCATCTTATGTATGAATAAAGCTATGTGTCATAATCCTCATAGCAATCTATACAACAATTACATGATAGAATTCATGATCTTTTCTGGTCATTGGAAGTCATGTACTATAAATTCATAAAAAGAAACTGTCATGGAAAATTGGGTAATACAAGCAACTTAATTAGTGAATTTTCAACAAAAATTAGATATTAGGCCCCTATTCGTATGTAAGACATTATTACTGGACTTAATCTAAAAAATCAAGGTTTATATTAGTCCCTGGAGCATACAGTACAGCTAAGTGAGCAAGACATGTACAATTTCTAACATGATTAATATGAGTACAAAAATTGAATAAGATTATATGATTGTGACCTCAATCTTTTCTACAGCATAATATAAGACTTCATATGTCTTTATGGGAAAAAATGTAACAACACGTAGTTTCTTTTTTAATTGGGAGTTTTTTATTGCTATTCATATTATGTGTCTTATATGCATTGTATTTTGAAGTTACGATCTGAAAATGTCAACATCTATGTTCTTTATCTGGACAGCATCATGTTTCTAAAATTAACCTGCTATTGGACAAATTCGACTTCAGTTTTTCTAGGATGTGATTGTCTTTTGAAAAAAGCAGAAGTGTTTCAAGTAGATGGAATACAATCCTCATGTTTTAAGTTAAACCTAAAGAAACCTGACATATTTGAAATAGATTATAATAAGTTTTAAATTGTGTTTTTCTTTGAGGAACCCATTTATGAGTTTTAAATTTCTTGATCTTTCATAAAGGCAAGCCCGAGTAATAGGAAGTAAACATACGCTTCCCTATAAAATAAAAAAATATCAAAATTCTTCATGGATCAAAGATTGTTAACATAAATCTAGTGAGAGGTCATTTAGTAAAATCCATATTTATAAATTATTCAGTATCCTTCAGCATATAACTTTTAGAAAGCTACCTTTTACAGATCTAAAGTTGGTATTCATTTTGGCCATTTTATTGAGTTCAGAATCCATTGGATAATAATGCCTATCAAAATGGTCTTGTTTTAAAATCTATGATTTAAGATATGGTTCTTGTTTTGAAGTTGGGGTATAACTCATATACCATAAAATTCACCTATGAGTGGTTTTTAGAGTGTGCAACCATTGCTGCTCTCTGATTCCAGAACACTTCCATTGGCCCCCTCCCCATGGAAGAGTAATTCCCCATTCCCTTTCCATCCAGCCCTAGGCAAATACTAATTTACTTCTGCCTCTGTTAGATTTACCTGTTCTGGACTTTTCATCTAAACAGAATTATACAATATGTAACCTTCTGTGTATGGCTTCCTTCACGGAGCATGATGTTCTCAAGGTTCATCCATGTTGTAGTGTGGGTCAGTACTTCATTCCTTTTCATGGCTGCGTAATATTCCATTGTTAACATGTGGCTTTTTGGTTTGGTAAAAGTCACTTTGTTATTCAAAACTTGATAAAATGAAATGTTTAAATAATGGTACTTTAGTTACTTTAGTTATGTTATAATGATAAAAAAACATTTATTACATTTGACTGGGTTCAGATATTTTTGAACTTAGAAATATTAGCAGCCATATTTCCTTTTGCTTCTCAATCACAAATCCTTTGGATACTTCTTAAGAAGGCATTCCTAGGATCATAAGGAAAGATTTTTTTAAGTATTTATTTTATTTTTTTGCATTTTATTTTTATTTTTTTATTATGTTATGTTAATCACCATACATTACATCATTAGTTTTTGATGTAGCATTCCATGATTCATTTTTTGCATATAACACCCAGTGCTCCATGCAGTATGTGGCCTCTTTAATACCCATCACCAGGCTGACCCATCCCCTCACCCCCTCCCCTCTAGAACCCTCAGTTTGTTTCTCAGAGTCCATAGTCTCTCATGGTTCATCCCCCCCTCCGATTTTCCCCCCTTCATTCTTCCCTTCCTGCTATCTTCTTCTTCTTCTTCTTCTTCTTCTTCTTCTTCTTCTTCTTCTTCTTCTTTTTAACATATAATGTATTATTTGTTTCAGGGGTACAGGTCTGTGATTCAACAGTCTTACACAATTCACAGCGCTCACCATAGCACATACCCTCCCCATTGTCTATCACCCAGCCACCCATCCTTCCCACTCCCCACCATTCCAGTGGAAAGATTTTTTTAACCAAAAATGTTGTCTGAATAAAAGGCTATTGCATGGATAATGAGTTATCCATCACTGGAATTATTTAATCACAAGATATATTACAACTCATTCAGATTTTTAAAATTTGAGTTTATAAATATATATCTTGCCAGTTTCTACAAAGGAATTTAGATGCTGAGTGATATTGTGGAAACACCTGTACTGGAGGTTGTCTAGATTAGGAAGTGCAGTTCATCATTTCTTCTGACCCAGAGTCTAGGTATTTCTAATTTTTATTCAAAATGATGATTTTCGGGGTGCTTGGCTGGCTCAGTTGGAAGAACATGTAATCTTGGTGTTGTGAGTTCAAGCCCCGAGTAGGGTGTAGAGATTTCTTAAATAAATAAAACTTTAAAAAGGATAATTTTGGGCGCCTGGGTGGCTCAGATGGTTAAGCGTCTGCCTTCGGCTCAGGTCATGATCCCGGGGTGCTGGGATCGAGTCCCACATCGGGCTCCCTGCTCCTTGGGAGCCTGCTTCTCTCTCTCCCTCTGCTTCTCTCCCTCTCTCTCTCCCCCTCTGTCTCTCATGAATAAATAAATAAAATCTTTAAAAAAAAGGGATGATTTTTCACAGTTCTACAAAGATCAAAATAAAAATGTAACATGAAATGTTAAAACAACATTCCCCTTTCCACATTTATAAGTATATTTATTCTATGTATGGCCTTCCCTGTAAGGTACAGAAAGACATGCAGACTTACACACACACACGCACACACAGAGAGGGAGAGAGAAATTTGTTTTTCCTTTGTGTCCTTCTTCCCAGACAAGGAGCAAATTACCTGGACCCTTTGGTTGGATCCTGTGTTAACACCAGAAAGAAGCCTACACTTCTCAGTGGCAAAGATGTGGGGGCCATCTTGAGTGTAGTCAGAGCTGGCCTCTCAACATAAGCATTCCTTACAACTCAGTCTTGGGGAGTTAACTCTGCCTTTCCTAACTTCATATCCTAAGTATTTGGGTTCTCGGATACCCAGATATTTCCATGTCTCTCTCAGAGATATTTTTATTCATGCACAATTACCATCTACTGTCAGTGAAGAATGATCTCACATACTCTCTTCCCTTCCTTTTTTTGATGTCCCCATATAAAATCTCTATTCTATTCCACAGAGAGCCAATATAATGGAAATCATAATAGTAAACTTTATTTCTACCAAGTTAAAAATTCTAGTGTGAAATTTATTCCTACAAAAGTTAATATTCCAATTTGCAGTTACAATATTTTGATGAGGTCACCAACAGAGAAAGGATGTGCTAAAGACTGAGTTTGAAAAAGGAATTTGAACTCTTTACTTTCATTCACAGACACCTTGAAAGTGAGTTTACAGAAATCGTAAATTTCTTCTGAAAAACGAGTGATGCGTGTAACAGCACTGGCTCATGGGGTGTTACAGATTTTTTTGGTCCAGTTTCATGTGTAACATTTAAAAGCAATACATTCTTGAAAAGGGATAAAAGGGAAGAGCAAACAACTTCAGAGCTTTGCAAACTAGGTTAGTCCAAGATTGACACAGAACAGGTTTTCAGCTTCAAGCATTTTTTAATGATCAAGTTATATAAACTCCAGAAAATACTGTGAGAGTGGGTAATGGAAACACTGACTTTTAATTTAGAGCTGACTTCACTTCACTAATGTTATTGTTCCTTGAGCATTTGGAGTTTCGATTACACCATCAGAGTTGTAAACACAAACTCAGCTAGTTTGATATCCTACATTTGAAGGGTAGCCTTTTTTGGCATCTGTGGACACACAGCAGCAAAATTTCAAACAAAAAGACAAAAAAAGTGTCTTGGCCAGCAGGGCTGTGCGGTTTGACTGCTTTCTCTCTGTTTAAGACATTGGTAAATTAAAATGCAATGACCCACGCAGGTCAGATTTCCCAATCGTTGAAGTCATATTCAAATTCAAGACCACCAAGTGCTCATTTATATGTGTTCAATTTTGTTTCCCTACCTACTCCTCTCCCCATTTAAAACTCATATACCTTCACCCTCATTATAGCAAAAGCTCCCAGGATCCCTCAGGAATCTAAGATACATGTATGGGGGACAACAGTAGCATTTATAAATATTGCATCATTGAAAGTTCTTGTTCCCCTAGAGTCCTGTGAATATTAACTGGCAGCAGTAAAGAGTTTTTCAAACCAGCCTATTTCGTTTCTGACTAGCTGGCAGGTTTGTTGTACAGATGTGAAACTTAGCTCCCCCACCCCCTCTTTATCTCTCTTCATTTCCAAAACGGTGCTTATAGGTAAGTGAGGAAATCTGTGGGGGCAGGGGAGTACCTCTAAATTTTCCTCAAACATGTGTTGTGCCGCCTCCTAAAATGTTCATTCCATCAAAACCATACTATTTAAATAAACGTAAACCCGGTTTCAATTATGTCATTACAGATTCCATAGAAGTAGTTTGTTTGACTCACTGGTGGATGTGTGGCGATGTTAGTGAAATTTCAAGGCCAGTCTGGATTCTTGTGCTGTGCTAAAGTATGTTACTGATTGAAAGAAACTTTTGAGTTCCAAATTATGAAAAAAAAATTTGTGGTGATAACAGGTACTATTTGTAGAGCGTCTACTAGCTGTCAGACCCCAGGGAGCATTATATTCCTTTTCTAATTAAGGATTCATTTTTTTCTTATTACAGATGAGCTCGAATGTTCTTAGGTAGGGTACTCCGTATGCATGACCCGGTTCCATTCTCTGAGCAGGTCCTTAGGGTGGGTCAGGCTGTGCAGAAGGACAGCCGTGCCCTGCCTGGGCTTCCCTGAGGAGGTGAGTAGGAGCTGCCGT